GACGGGCGTGGGGCGGAGGTGAGAGGGAGCCGACCCGCAGCGAGCCTTCCAGGCGGGAAGGACAGATGCACAATGTTTTATACACATTTTTTAAATGAAGGCCATCGTTTTTGTTCAAATTCTCGTGAAAAACTTCCTGGTTCTCTCCCTCCAACACCCTTTAAAAAAAAAAGTTAATGTCGAAAGTGAGGCTGGTCCTAGCCGGTTTGCCCAGGTCGAGGCGCGTGGGGGAGGCAACCAATGGATGCGTCTGTCTCTCTCTCTCTCCCTCCCTCCCACCTTCTCTAAAAATTAATGGGAAAATATCCTGGGGTGAGGATTAACTAAAGGAACGTGAGGCGGATGCACTGTGCGGCCGCTCCCTTGGCTCTGCCTCACCCGAGGTCTAGACCAGCGGAGGAAAGGCCGGGCGGCTCCTCCGAGTGCCCCCGGGCCTCCCGTGTTCCTACCACACAGCTGGCCTCGCACAGTGTTTCTCCCGGTGCCCTCGGCCTCAGGACCGGACGGTTCCTGGTGTGGGATCCGGCCCTCTGTGTACAGCTCTTCCGCACCCTGACACGTTTGCCTGCTGGGAACGGTGATCGAATAACTAAATGGATACCCCTCCCCTGGGAACTGACCTTTAGGCCACTTCACAAGGTCATTCCCTCACCGAGACCACATTCCATTTCCCATTCCACTTGCTAAGACCACTGTCCTTCCCCTCCGGACCTTCCCAGGGTCCAGACCCGCCCATAGAATTCTCTGCCAGGAAAAGCTGGCCTCCAGGCCTTTAAAACCTCTCCCTCCCCGCCCCTGGGGGCTGGCGCCATGTTGGGGGCCAGCCCATCTGGTGTCCAGACGACCTAATAAATTCATAATTTTTACTCCTTTTGGCCTCAAGCATCCCTCCTTCGGCGACCCTGCCACCTGCCACATGCCATCAGTGCCACTCAGTTTGGCAACCAAAAAAGTGCTACCCTTTGTTGAAAACTACTTTTTAAGCCTATATATATATATATATATTTTTTTTTTTTTGCATGAACTTGTTCTCTCAGTGCCCACCAAATCTTTCGCCTAAGGCAATGGGGGAGAGAGGAGAGAAAACATTTTTACAGTACGCTTCTTCGTCTCCACAAATGAAACCAGCCACCCAGGAGCCATCCTGGCGCCTCCTTGTCCCACCTGGCAGGTCTGCAGCAACCCCACACCTGCTGACCCCGTTCTCTTTGGGTCCAGGGTGGTGGTTGCTAAGTACAAATCTGACCTGTTACTTTTCCCCCAAAGTCTAAAACCGTTTGAAGGGAACTAAATTTTTGCCACCCTTAAGCTGTCTTTTTGGGATATTGATTTTAAGCTGTTAATTGAGAAACAAGACTCAGAACCTTTGACCCTCACTCCTTTGCTGCCTAAGAAATTCAGACAGAAAGATCTGCTTTAGGAAGGGAGTCTTGGCTTAATCATCTTAAAAATCTTCACCCTAGCTTTAGTCAGGAAGACTCCAGGCCTGTTAGCTAGATACCCCATGTCCCATTGTTTCTGAATTGCCTGGCAAGAATTTTCCTGCCTCGTATAATCTACTCTTCCTCAACCACCTGTAAATCGCCCATTTTACCCATTCACCAACCCCTTTTCTCCTTTGTCCAAAAATGTCATTTATATTGAATGTTGCCTCAACAGTGTCTTTGAACTTTTCATGCTTGTGTGAATTCCCCAGGAACATGTATTAAACATTTTTCTCTGTTAATCTGTCTCTGTTCATTTGATTACTAGCCTAGTTAGAAGGACTTAGAAGGTGGGAGGGAAAGTATTAATTTTTTTAGTCCCTGCACATTAAAAAATTCCACTGCTCTGGAAACTTTTAAAGTGGTCTACAAGGTCTTGCAGGGTCTCATCCCTGCAGCCTCTCCAGCCTTATCTTGCCTCCCTTTGCTCCCTGCCCTCCAGTCACGTGGGCCTTCTTTCAGATTGACCCTCACCATGCCCACTTCCAGCACAGCGCCTCTGCGCATGCCATGTCACATAGGATCCTCTTCATCCCATCTTCACCCAATGAGGTCACATCACTTCTTCAGGGAGACCTTCCCTGATATACTCAGGTGTCTGTACTGGAGACTTTAGCAGAACTTGTCACCTGTGAAATTTTACATCTGCTGGGGTGACTATTTCATGTCAATCCCCTCCCTAGACTGTCAATTCCATGAAGAGGAAGCTGTGTCCTTGCTCACCTTTGTTTTCCCAGGACCTGGTGCTAGCCCTGGGCACAGCAAGCACTTAAATACGTATTGAATGAGGAACATTGGAAGATAAGTTTAAATCCTAAATTGGGCATCTTAACCTATCTGGGCCCCATTTTCTTCCCCATCTATAAAACAGTGATGAGCCCAGCTGGCTGGCTGGTGTGGCTCAGTGGTTGAGCGTTGACCTATGAACCTGGAGGTCACAGTTCAATTCCCGGTCAGGGCACATGCCCGGATTGCGAGCGCCATCCCCAGTTGGATGGTGTGCAGGAAACAGCTGATCAATGATTATCTCATCATTGATATTTGTATCTCTCTCTCCCTCTCCCTTCCTCTCTGAAATCAATAAAAACATGTTTTTTTGTTGTTGTTGTTTTTTATTGCTTAAATTATTACAAAGAGTATTACATGTTTCTCCTTTTTTTCCCCCCGCCCTTGACAATCCCCTGGCCTCCCCTACCCCCCAGCTTCCTCCGGGGGACTTCCTTCCTGTGTAATAAAGACATAGTCAGGCCCAGCCGGTGTGGCTCAGTGGTTGAGCATCAACCTATGAACCAGGAGGTCACGGTTCAATTGCCAGTCAGAACACATGCCTGGCTTGCAGGCTTGATCCCCAAATATGGAGCATGCAGAAGGCAGCTGGTCAATGATCCTCTCTCATCATTGATGTTTTCTCTCCCTCTCCCTCTCTGAAATCAATATAAATAAATATTAAAAATAATAAAAATAAAACAGTGATGAGAATACCCCATTTCACTGGGGTTTATGAGGAATTAGTAACAAATTAAACTCCCATGAGTGAGCACATGGGGTCAGTATGCACTAGGGTCCAGGAGAGTGAGCCTCTGGATTCCATGTCTGCACCAACTAAGAGCATTGGGTGTTGCCGGGTGATAGGTGGCACAGAATCAGGAGCCTCTGAAGAACTGGCTTGGAACTCCTGGCAAAGGAAGGCTACTAGGTGACCCATTAGGTGAGGCATGCATCTGTTCTGTGGTTATAATGGAGCCTCCTGAGCTGGTTGCTTGGGGTGCCATGTGTTGGGAGGAAGGGGCCAGCTCCACATCCTGCTCTGTATGAGTGCAGGCAGCTCATTCACCACCCACTCCCAGCCCATCTTTTGTTTTGGGGGATTAGGAGTACAGAGGGTGCAAAAAGACTGAATGATTTATCAGTGGTGTCAATGGTGTGCAAAACTCAATTACCCTGTCTGTACAAAAGTAAAGTAGTGGGGCCCCTCCCCCATTCCTTCTCAGCAGAAAAGCAATGTTGAGGCCATTGGTCTTCCTCATTTCACTCCTCACTGAGATTCTGCTTCCCCCGAATAAAAGCAAACAGCCTCAGTTTAGGTGAGGAACAATAGTGTTATCAATTAGTTACCTGAACAAGCAATTTTTTGGCTTCAAATTTGCCCTGACCTTCCAGCTTGCAGTTGGCTTATAATATAAAATATATTGTCACTGGGGCTCAAAGGACACATAGTTAAAATGGCTTTACATTCATTTTGGCCTCTGAGCAAATGCCTTTAATTTTGTATGTGATATAAAATTCCTGACCTCCTAAAGACTGGGCTAAGAACCAACAATTTCTGTCTTCTGGAATTTCCAAATAACATACCACCCTTTGGCTTAAAATTAATACAGTGCCTTTTGCTTTTCAAATAACTTTAAGCCCTACGTGTTGTTGGATTCCTGCTGGGAAGTTGCTGGGACAGGTACTTCCCTCCAGGCTCTGCTGTTTATCAGCTGTGACCTGGGAAAGTTGTGTGCTCTTTCTGAGCCTGTTATCTCATTGGTAAAATGGAGAAGATAAAGCACCAACTTCATGGGGTGTTCGTGTGAGGATTAAATGAGTTACCAGATGTGAAGTGTTTAGAACAGTGCATTTAGAACATTGGCAATGCTCAATGAATGCTACTATTTTCATTACTGTGACTGCTGTTTTATCCTGGGTGCCAGCCAGTATTGTTTTAGAAGCTCAGCTTCCTAAATATCTGGTTTCCCCTTTCATTGTGAGTATTCCCAAAGCACTACAGCTCCATTCTTCCCACTACTTGTTTTTGCTATACTCTCTCTTACATCTACTGCCCCACCCAAGCTGTGCTGTTCCCTTTGTGGTCTTCTGCCTGTTCATAACTTTGTTTTCTTTCTCGCCTCTTACTACACTGGAAACCCCAGTGCTAGAACTTTATACCAACTTCTCACTGCCTGACAGACTTATGCCCTCTAGAACTTACGTTGTTTGTAGCCACTAAGAGCTTTCAATTTGGCTAATATTTTGGTTTGGGCCCCATGAAAATGAATGACTTAGGTATTCCTTAACATTCTGAATTATTATTTCCTGGCTACTGGCCAGGCCACTGGGAAACCACAGGGCAGACTGGTTCCAGGTATGCTGAGAAACACCAGGGTGTGCTGGATGAGCCATCAGGGTAACATGAACTTCTTGGGAACAGGCTGTGAGAATGCTGATCTGCTATATGTGTTATTGCACAGATTCCAACAGATACAGAAAATAGCCTCATTTATTGATTTAGAAGGAAACAGCAGTAAATTATTTTCTAAACAAAAAGCATATGGATATTTTAAAACATCAAAATCCCACCAGCAAGGAACCAACCATCACTGCATCTTAACCTGAAAGCAGTACCTGGCAGATACCAGCAGACAACAGTAGCTACTGAGCAGAGGGAGCCCCAAATATTGACTGGCATCAGTTTCTGGGACACCTGTAATTTATTTCTGCTTGGTGGAGGGTGTGGATTCTACAACCAAAGCCCATAAGGCCAACATCTTAACCCCACCGAGGTCAAGTTAAACGTGGGGCCAGGTCCTCCTCTGAGCAGATCTTCCAGGCTTTCAAGGAAGGTACAGCATTGGATTTCCAAAACAACCACACCCACAGCTATTTTCACATTTCTTAACACTCCTCCTCAGGATGCCCACAGAAAAATACATCGATCACATCTCTGGAATCTCGACTTTATTTGAGTTGGACTGCTTCATAGTCCTTCCAGTCCAGCCCTGCCAGTGGTCAATTGTTATGACCTTGTTTTGCAAAACCGAAAATATAGTTCAAATAATTCCTCTCATCTTTGAAAAGAGAATACAAAGGCATTACCAGACTGGGAAAAAGCAGAGCTACACATGGTAGCTAGGACTTCTTTCCATTCACCAAACAAGTGGCTCCCTACAGAAACAACAATTATTCATCTCAGAGCCCCCAAAAGATCATCCTTATTAAGGGTTTTATAATGTTGCGTCCAGGCATTGAGGAGGTCATCAGATGTTGCTCTTTAAGTAAACACATTACCTCAACTATGGGACAGGTCACTATTGACTTAGTATTTGTGAATCAATGCTAATAAATTATTTGGGTAGTATTGGAATTTTCTCAGATGCGTTAAAAACAACTATACTGACATATAAAGATTGGGCTAAATTAAGAAAACAGAAAATAAACATCCTGGTTGTATCTTCAAATAGTGAAAGTCTGAAAAATTAGCTCCTAAAATATGAGGAGTAAGCTGGAATGGAGGTATTCTTTCACTTCCAGTGTTGATACAAAACACGACTTCCCAAGCCACCTCTGGATCTAACTCTTTAGCAGCAAGATTCTCCCACAACATCCGTTTCCCTGGTCTCTCTGTGGGTCATGATGCAAGTTAAGTCAGGAGAAGAAAAACTCAGAAGACTCACTGGGATCCCATCTTGTGACCACTTCACACACTCCTTAAAATGTCTTAATCTATCATAACCCCTACTCACAAGGTAAAGTCATATATGCCACTGATGTATCTGAAAAATACACTCTTTTGCAGCCTGAATCACAAATACCTTCTCCCCTTTATTAATGGCCTTTACATTAATGTGCCCCGGCCAATGGGGCACAAGGCAGAGCTTTCACTCGGGTCAGAAGGTTGTGGAACTCTTCCAGTGCCTGTGAGTGTGCCATGGGGTTTAGCACCAGGTGTTGGAAGAGATTGACAGGCTCGGCATTCCGAAATTTCTTAGGGATCGGGATGGTCAGGGGCAGGAAGTTGTTACCAATGAGGAAATGATGGAGGGACCTTTGCTGGAGGCCACGGCCCAAGAACCAGAGGATGTCCTGGAGCCGCTGGGAGAGCATGCTGTGCTGCCAGTCCGTGAGGGGCAGCCACAGCAACAGGTGCATGAGGGCTGTTTTGAAGTGGTAAGAGGTAAGGATGGGACGGGATGCTCCCTGGGGTGAGCTCTGAAGGTCCTGGAGACTTAAAATGATCTGGAGGCACTTGAGGTGGCAGGTATTCTCTGGAGCAAAACGCCCTACCAGCTTCAGGAACAAGTGCTCACAGGCTGCAAAGGACTCGGGCCAGTCCACGCTAGTGAGCTGTTCCTGGTCAGGGGCCCGACTCACCAGGTAGACCAAAGTGTCTTCCCGTTGCACCCCCAGAACCAAGCGGATTGAGAGAAAGCGGCCTGAGCGATAGTCCAGCCTGAGCTTGCAGGATGTGGTGGACGGTGGGAGGCTGAGCTGAAAGTCATACTTGTGGGCCACGAGGGCCCAGGCGTTGCCCACCATGTTCCGGAACCACTGTACGGTCTTGCACACGTCCAGGTGGGAGCCGGTGCAGAGGGTTGCTTTGATGGAGCTGTTGCACTTGCCCAAGAGGGCCGAGTGGTCCTTGTGGTGATGCACCAGGCACAGCACATCACCCAGAAGCTTCTCACGTTTGCACACACATTCTGACTCCACCAGCACACTGCCACAGCGGCGGCCTAAGGATGGATCCCTCATCTCCAGCACAAACGTGGAGCCCTGGGGCGGAACAATGGGCACCAGGATATCAAATTTCTGGGTCTCATGGAGGGTTCCCCATTTCTCAAAGGCAGCCCCGATGCCCAGGCAGTCCTCCAGCTGTGGGCGAGCCTCCTGGGGGCTGACCACCTGGCGGTTGAGTGCCCGACAGGCTTCAATGAGGTCGTCCACAAAGCTCTCCACAAACTCACAGGTGCAGGGCAGGTCACGGATGACATTCTGGACATAGTGTTTGTAAAAGGATTCCAGGGCCTCCTGCGAAGGGAAGTCGGTGAGCCAGTTGTAGGAGGTGACAGGCACCACCCGGACTTCCTCCTCTTCCTCATCACTGCTGGAATCAAAGGCCGGCTCGTGCTGCATGTTCTGTCGCAGAAGCTCGAAGATGAGAAAAAGGCAAAAGAGGCCAGCATTCCACAGGTTTCCCAGCATCCAGCTCAGCGGTCCCTCCTGGCCCTCGTCTTGGAACGGCCACCCCATGTCCTTCCTTCCCAGCACTAACTCGTCACTGGATGTGTCTCCTCTCCAGAAGTTCTCTGCCTTCTGCTTCTGGTCAGCGACTCGCTTTCTCTCTTCAAACTCTATCTCTAACTGGCGCATCTCCTCACTCATGCGCTTCTCCAGCTGCCGACTTCTGGCTAGTGTGTCCAGGTCCATGCGGTCACTGACCATCAGGGGGTGGTGAACAACATACATCACTGCCAAGAACAGAAGGCTTAGCACAGCCATGGAGGCCTCTGCATCTGGAGAAGTAGGGGTGGGGTCAGTGGTAATCCTCAGGACTCATCTGCTCCCCAGTGCACATTCCCAGAGCCCTGGAACCCTAAATCCTGGAAGCCAACTACCCAGGACAAAACAGAACACTCACAGAGCTGGGGTTGGGCAGAGCCTGGGGGGTCTGCCCAGGAGGAGGTTTGGGAGGAAGGGGGCAGCAGGATATGCCCTCAGTCTCTCTACTGCTTTCCTTCCCCATGGCGTGGGTGGTATTTAGGCTTCCAGACTGGCATGGGACTGCTTTCCTGCCTGTGTAAGGATGGGGAGAGGGATCTTTGTGGTAGGGTGGCCTTACCCAATTCATCAGTCCACCATGGGAACCAGGTGTGCCCTGCTGATCCCAGAGGCTCCCTTCCACCAGCAGAAGCACTGGTCTGCCTGGGCAGTACCTTTCTCTTGCCAGGCAGTCCGCCCCAGGCCCCACCTGTAGCATCCCATTACACTATGACTTCACAATCCTCAATTCTGCCCCCACTGTCATCAAACAACCCAGCCTCTTCTCCCTGGTGCCAGTGGGCCAACTCCCAGTGGGTACCAGGGAGGCACAGTGCTCAGCCACCTCTCCACTGCCTGCTGCTGTGCTCTGAGGTCGTAAGGGGGGTGCTGCTGCCTCATTGGGGCCCATAGGCAGGCAAGGCTGCACCTCTCAGCAGCTCAGGAAACCGTGAAGAACAGCTGACAGTAGTTGGTTCCTCTGCCTCCCCACCCACCACCGAGGCCTGGAGCTTCCTGTATTCACCCACTAGTTCACAAGCTGGCTGGGCTTACCAAGATCATGAAGGACAAGCCCCGAGTGGGCCCTGAGGCCAGATGGGGTCCTCTCCTCCCTTTGGAACTTGGCCTTGCTCAGGCTCACCTGAGCCCTGTTAAAATTTACAAGGTACCTGGGGCTTTGACTCAAAGCAGGGTGCCCCCCCCCCCATTCATAACCTCCCAAAATCCCACGCCCAGAGACCTGAATACTCAAATGCCCATCCTCTGGGGTTTTCCCGGGACCTGGGGCTGGGTTCCTCACCGTCGGTGTCAGCGGGAACACGGTCTCAAAGAGACAGCGCGGCCTGACCGCTCCCGCCTACTTCCCGGCAGCGTGGAGGCTCCTGGCTCCTCGCCGGGTCCGCCCGCGGGAGTGGCCCCATGTCCTTCTCCCGGGGAGCACAGCATGTCTGTCCGAGTGTCCGAGAGTCTGTGCGCAGCCAGCCGCAGAGACCCCAAGGTGCTGCGCGCGGTTCCGAGGG